AGTCAGATTATCCCCGCTTTAATCAAATGACCCTGTCCACTGCAGAATAATGTTGAAATGCCTCACCGAAAATAAACAGACAATGCAAAACTTGTCAATTCTCATTCCCCCTAAGACGTGCTGCAATCTTCTATGTTACCTGGCCAACACATAGCACCCACACGTGATCTCCTTTTCCTCAAAGTAAAAGGAAGAATCAGAGCCTTCTTGGAACACATGCTTTCCAACAACAAGAAAACTTATCCTGGCTGAAAGTGTGCATTAGCAACCAGCAAAGGAAGCAACTCTAGGGTTGTTGGTGCGAATCCTAACCACGGCACCACCTGCCTGAAGTTTGCATGTTCTGACTGTGCCTGTGTGGGTTTCCTCCGGGTACTCCGCTTTCCTCCCATAATCCAAAGACATGCTGGCAGGTTAGATGGATCCTGTCTGAACTGGTCCTAGAATGTCTGAATGTGAGTTAGGGACCTTGAGGGTAAGGTCTGATATGAATGGATAATATATATGTAAAGTATTGCATAAATTGAGGTCTCGTTCACGCTAGAATGCGGTGCGGGAGAGTCGTGGTCCTGTGCGGCTTCCCACACCACATTCCAATCACAATGCCCTTGCGGTCTGCTGCCAGTGCCAGTTAAAAGCTAATGATACCACAAACGCAGGTTGCAAACACACTGCGATTGCCAACACTGGCCTGCATCAAATTGTATTGTAGAAAGCCCCATGCAATGCGAATGCAGTGCATTTAAAAACAAAAGGTGTATGCACTACTTTTGGTGCGGTGTGATCTCAGCCCATTCAAATGAAATCGCACCACTCAGAGCTGCAAATGAATCGCACAGGAATGCACAGCGCGTTCCTGTGTGATTCAGCTTGAGGCATGGTGTGAACCGGCCCTTATGCCACTACATAGGTACCTGTAATAAATAAATAAATAGCTCAACATAATGATTTTTCTTGCATATCACAGTCATCCTCACATAGTGCCATATAAAACAGATTAAGTGTGTCTTAAGATTGGAAACTGCACCAACATCCAATAATCAAAGATAACAAGCAGAGAATGTATTATGTGTGTACAGGACTGTAAAGGCACCAATTCAATTACTGTAGAACCATATAATAAAAAAGAAGTGTTAAAATACTAATTTTATTGTAACAAATTAAAATCAGATACAAACATATACAGTGGGGCAAAAAAAGCATTTAGTCAGCCACCAACTGTGCAAGTTCTCCCACTTAAAAAGATGAGAGAGGCCTGTAATTGGCATCATAGGTAGACCTCAACTATGAGAGACAAAGTGAGAAAAAAAAATCCAGACAATCACATTGGCTGATTTGGAAAGAATTTATTTGCAAATTATGGTGAAAAATAAGTAAAACAAGCAAGATTTCTATAGATTTCTAAAGAACTATAAGCTGTGAGCTTGGGCCTCCATGGATCAGACTTGTTTTTCCAGCACATCCCACGGATGCACAATTGGACTGACATCTTGAGAATTTGGAGGCATTTCAACACCTCATGCTAGTTACTGTGTTTATCAAGCCATTCTTGAACCCTTTTTGCAGTGTGGCAGGGAACTTTATCCTGCTGAAAGAGGCCACTGCCATCAGGGAATACCATTTACATGACGGGGTGCACTTGGTCAGCAACAATGTTTAGGTAAGTGGTACATGTCAAGGAACATCTACACGAATGGCAGGACCCAACGCTTCCCAGCAGAGCATTGTCCAAAGCATCATATTGGCTTGCCTTCTTCCCATACTGCATCCTGACTCCATCTCTTCCCCAGGTAAGCGACCAACATGATGTTTAACAAAAAGAAAAAAAAGTGACTCATCAGACCAGGTCACCTTCTTCCACTGCTCTGTGGTCCACATCTGATGCTCATGAGACTTGCTATCACCCCCAACTACACGAAGCATTAGACCCCGACCACTACAACCCTGGCAGACTGACCATACCAAAAATCTCAAACGACGCAGTCGTGCACTGGAGCGACTATGGCGCAAAACCAGATCCCAACAAGCGTTCACCCTACACTTCCTCCCTTCACGCTGCCAAGAAAGCCTACTTTGTTACCCTCATTAATACCTTCTCCTCAGCAGATCTTCTCTACTTTTAGCTCTCTACTCTCTCCGCCCCCACCTCCACCCAGTACCTCACTCACCGCCCACAAGATTGCTAATCAGTTCAAAAACAAGATCGACGCAATTCATAGGGATATCGCCACTGCTCAGACTTCCACCCCACCTAACATCCTTCACACTAAAACCCCCTCAACACTCCACTCCTTCAACCTCGCTACCACTGAAGAGGTCACTAAGGTCTTCTCTGAAGCCCGCCTCACCACCTGCCCCCTTGACCGTCCCCTCAAAACTCCTACGATCACCCTCTTCCACCATCCTATGCTCCCTTACACACATCTTTAATCTTTCCCTCTCTATTGGCACATTCCCTCCCCTCTAAAAAACACACGCACATCACTCCCATACTTAAAAAAACCCTCCCTGGATCCCACAGACCTGAACAACCTTAGACCCATCTCCCTGCTGCCATTTACACCCAAACTCCTAGAGCGCTTAGTCTATAATCGCCTGAGTTACCACCTTACCTACAACAACCTCCTTGATCCCCTACAGTCTGGTTTCCGCCCCCTACACTCCACCGAAACTTCCCTACTCAAACTCACCAACGACCTGCTAACCGCCAAAGCTAATGGCCACTATTCAGTGCTCCTACTCCTCGACCTCTCTGCGGATTTCGACACGGTTGACCACCCCCTCCTCCTCAAAAAACTACACTCTCTTCGCCTCAGAGACTCCACTCTCTCCTGGCTCTCTTCCTATATATCACAGCGCTCGTTCATTGTTACCTATAATGCTGCCACCTCCCTCTTCACTCCCCCTCTCTGTTGGGGTCCCTCAAGGTTCTGTCCTCGGGCCCCTTCTCTTCTCCATCTTCACCTCCTCCCTTGGCCAATTGATACACTCTCACAGCTTCAACTACCATCTCTATGCTGATGACACCCAAATCTCTCTCTCTACCCCTCACCTCTCCCCTTCAGTCTTCGCCTGTATCACAAGCCTACTGAGCAACATATCGGACTGGATGTCACTCCACTTCCTCAAACTAAATCTTTCCAAAACTGAGCTCCTAGTTTTCCCCCCAGCCCACGCCCCCCCCCCCCCCCCCCGACTTCTCCATCAAGACCAACAACACCCCCATCAGTCCCTCCCCTCAAGCCAGAGTACTAGGTGTTATCATAGACTCCAATTTGTCCTTCCAGCCCCAGGTCCATTCGCTGACAAACTCATGTAGACTTCACCTCAGCAACATCTCCAAAATACGTCCATTCCTAATCCCGGAAACCACTAAGCAACTCATTCACTCCCTCATTATATCACGACTTGACTACTGTAACTCCCTCCTCACCGGCTTACCTCACCGCAAGCTATCCCCGCTTCAGTCTACCTTGAATGCTGCGGCCAGACTCATCCACCTGACTAACCGCTCCGTATACGACTTGACTACTGTAACTCTCTCCTCACCGGCTTACCTCACCGCAAGCTATCCCCGCTTCAGTCTACCTTGAATGCTGCGGCCAGACTCATCCACCTGACTAACCGCTCCGTATCCGCCACCCCTCTCTGCCAATCCCTCCACTGGCTTCCGATTGCTCAACGGATAAAATTCAAAATACTAACATTGACGTATAAAGCTGTTCATAACACTGCCCCAAACTACATCACCGATCTGGTATCTAAATACCACCCAAAACATACTCTCTGCTCGTCACAAGACCTCCTACTCTCTAGTTCCCTGGTCTCCTCCTCCCATGCCCGTCTCCAGGACTTCCCCCATCGTCTGAAACTCCCTACCCCAATCCATCAGACTATCACCTACTCTCCTCTCCTTTAGGTGCACCCTGAAAACCTCTCTCTTCAGGGAAGCCTACCCCACCCTCAGCTAATTACTGAACTCCTCCACTCTTCCTACCACTCCATCCCCCACAGCTATTTCCTCCTGTACCACTATCCCCTCCCTCCTAGATTGTAAGCTCCAAGGAGCAGGGCCCTCGAACCCCTCGTGTATTGAATAGTATTCTTACTGTACTGTCTCGTATTATGTTATAATGTACAGCGCTGAGCAAACTGTTGGCGCTATATAAATCCTGTATAATAATAATAATAATATTGTGCCCACTGTAGGCACTTTGGCTGTGCACACAGCATGGTCACCTCGACCGGTCTGCGGCTGCACTGCCCCATATATAACAAACTGCAAAGGCCATTTTTTTCTGCTTTCAACATATCAACTTAAGGTTTAATTGCGGCCTTATATATCCCAACAACTTTCAGATGCCTAATGGCTTTTTTTTTTGTCTTTTCATTATAATGGGAGACAATAGTTCTACTTTAGTATGTCTTTTTAAAGCTCTATTCATTTCCTCTGGCAAAGCACAAAAAGAGATAACTGGGGCTTCCCCTATCACAACATGCAAGGGATCCTTGTTGAAAAGCACAGTGTATGGCTATTATATTGAATGAACACACCAGCTGAATGTGGCCATTGTTATAATATAGATTATCATGTCTAGATGTTGATCAGATGGAAAAAGAGAAGAAAAAAAACCTGAGAACTATAAAGCATTGTTTATTCCCTTAACCACTTGCCCTCCAGAGGATTTACCCCCTTCCTGACCAGGCCATGTTTTGCGTTCCTTTAACTGAAAATTGCGTGGTCATGCAATGCAGCACCCAAATGAAATTTGCATCCTTCTTTCCCCACAAATGGAGCTTTCTTTCAGTGGTATTTGATCGCCTGTGCATTTTTATTTTTGCACTATGAAAAAAGAAGACCAACAATTTTGAGGAAAAAAAAACAATATTTTTGACATTTTGCTATTAAACATGCCAAGTAAAAAAATTTAATTTCATCATAAATTTAGGCCAAAATGTATTCTGCTACATGTCTTTGCTAAAAAAAATCCCAATACATGTAAATTAATTGGTTTACGTGAAAGTTATAGCATTTACAAATGGTGGTATATATACTGGGATTTTTTTTTTTTAATTTTAACTAGTAATGGCAGCGATCAGCGACTCATAGTGGGACTGCGGCGGGCATTCTGACACTGGGGGGGAACTGACTTGGTGTCACTGACATCCCCAGTGACACCAATACAGTGATCAGTGCTAATAAAAAGCACTGACACGGTACTAATGGCACGAGACAGGAATGGGTTAACATGTGGGGCGATTAAAGTGTTAACTGTGAGCTGTTTTACTATGTGTGCTGTGTCTATGTGCTTCACTGTAAGCACAGCCATGCAAAGCATTACAAACAGCTCCCCCCCCCCCCCGTCAAAGACGCTTGGCAATCACAGGGCGCCGGCGAGTAATCACTGGCTGGGACCCGGTGATTGACAGCTGCGGCGTGGGTAGGGCATGTGTGTCCTGCGTACACTCTCTACCACGAAATGCAAAATTATGTATATATACGTGATTTTGTGCACCCCTGCCGCCCTGTAGCAGTACTTCTGCTATAGGGCAGACGGGAAGCGGTTAAACAAGCCATGACTATGATTTTGCCATATCACGGTGTGTGATGCAACCACACAGCAACACAGCAGTAAACAGCTTCTCAAGAAAACTCCCCTATGATACCTGGCTGCCTGTCAGCCAGCAGGAAAGCCATACAACATGAACTGAAGCAGAACATAATCTGTTTTATTTTAGAAATCCACAAATTTACTGTGAAATAAAATACCCCCATTCCTCTATCAGTTATATATATGTGGAAAAATTTAAATCAGTGTATGGACACTCCTCAAACTTGGATGTCATAGCCGTCAACAGAAAGGTTGAGAACATTATCAGTAATTCATTTTTAAAGCTAAACTCTATGCACGTATAAAAACACCAATTAATGCTATTATTTATTAAGAAATGACATTTATTTTTAAATGCAATTAGTGTAGGTACATGAATGCGAGTTATCGATCTCCTGCAGTACTGGTAGCCAATCAGATCAGCGGCATGCTCATGTGCCTACAAGGAACATGCTGACAGAAGAAGTAAGCAGGCACTGTGAGCAGAGTGATGGACTGCTGTTTCCTATTCACTGTCCAGTCACAGGTTGGCTATACTGTCTGGCCAAGGCTGTGTGAATTTTGGGAATGAATGAACAGAAATACAAAACCTTTTGGCAGGTAAAACAGCTCTCAAATGTGTATTTAGCAGTTCTCCTGAAGTTACCAATTTCAATATTTGCTGGAAAAAGCACAGAAATATCAGATATTTAAAGCCCATCTCAGGTACAGAATAAAAAAAAAAAAAAATTACCCTTGCAGTGGGGACCCACGGACTTGCCAAAGTCTGTATTACTTACCTTTTTCCTTGCTCCAGCTAAGTCCCTCCAGCAGTGTGACCAGTCCCCAGTGGCTTCCTCTCTAAGATGTCCTCAGGTACGGTTGCATGTTCACCCCCACCACGTACAATAGGTTAATAGTCCTGTATTGTATGTAATGATGGTGGGGAACAGGCCTCAAATCAAATCTTAGCGGAGAAAAGGACAGAGACAGAGTAGGAAGTCAAATAGTTAATGCACCTGTACCCTCAAGACTTTAGGTATACTTTAATGAAAATATTGGTGTTAAATTTTTGGGCGCTTTCTAATGCCCAGGGAGCCACATGTGCCATGTACTGCCTGTCATAGAAGCGAATGGCTGTATGCACACATACTGATGGAGTCAAATACTTTGCAACACTATGTTTAAAACTCACCTCCCAAAGTCTACATGCTTTATAAAGCTTGTATCTTTATGGATTACACCAGCATCTCTCTCTCAATTGAGGCACCCTTTAAAAGTATGCAAAAGGTTGAGGCATATCAGTATAAAACGTAAAAAAAAAAATTTAATTATAATTATCTTACAACAGCCTTGATGAAACAAAACTTCACATCAGAAAGTCCCCTTCACATCAGGGGTTCCCCCAGCACATCAGAGATACACCATTACATCAGAGGCTCCCAACCAGATATGAAGTCCCCTATCACATCAGTGAACCCTCTCATGTCAAAGTCACTCTTTCTTGTCAGAAGTCCCCTTACATGAACTCCCTCCTCACAAAGGTCCCCTAGTCACAAAGGCCCCCAATCACACAGTCCCTTCTTTACATCAGAGCCCTAACTTTTGGCTCCAGCAGAGAGTCAGAGGGCAGAAAGTGGAAGAGGTCTGGAGGAGGCAGACTTCTGTCTTCTGAGTGCTGGCAGCAGCCCGATAGTGTGGGTGACCGACGCCATCACCACCATAGCAACAAATGACACCAAGGGGTTTATTTACTAAAGCTGGAGAGTGCAAAATAAGACTCACTTCTGCATAGAAACCAATCAGCTTCCAGGTTTCATTGCCAAAGCTTCATTGAACAAGCTGAGGTTAGAAGCTGATTGGTTTCTATGCAGAAGGGAGTCTGATTTTGGACTCTCCAGCTTTAGTAAATAAACCCCCACGCGTCTTGGCCCTAGAGTGTTATCGGTTGGTATGGTGCTGGCTATCGGCCCGTCTGCACAATGGCAACTCAAAACACATCCAGGGCAAACTGGGTCCCATGCCTGTGGCACTCCAGAGAAACCCAGATGGCATCCAAGTTGAGAAACAAAGTATAACACAACCCATGATTAGTTATCATACTACAACATCAGAAATGTGCACTGCCCACAGCAGTAGAGTTTCAGCAATCATTTTTCAGTGCAGGTTGTGAGAAAAAACGTCACTACTGTTGTATACAGATGTTCCAGTTAATTGCAACAAAAGTAAAATATACAGTAAAACTGTCACATCTCTAGTTTGTTCAGATCACCTGCAGTTAGTTCCATGAAGATATCTAATTGTAACCTGAGATGAATCTCAATTTGCCTATTATCTGCTTGGTGGAGTGTTTAACTATCCCCAGGGTATGGATTATTCTGCAGGCAATCATTGATCTTGAAATAGATAATGACAGTGCTACTAAACTCTGACTTCCAGGCTTCAAACACTGAATCAGTTCACAGCTGTAAAGATGGGTAATTAATGAAACCACAAAGCCATTTTCATAAAGAGAAGACACAGTGCTTGTACAAGTTCTGAAACAAAACGTGCTTTTTTTAACAGAACTGGTTTTCATATAAAGCTACCAAGGAAACCAAATGAACTTCCTGGGTTGAATGAACACTTGAAATGTGTTTCTACACGTTTCAGACTGGTGGAGTGGATTTTTTCTTACTAAAAGTGAACAGGTTTTTTTAAAATAATTTTTGGATATTGAGGGGAAGGGACACCCCCTCCCCCCAAACCTTTACTGCTGCTGGTGTCCCTACTGGGAAGATTAGGCCCTCTTTTTGCCCAGGTGATCATTATCACTGAGCCAGAAAATAATGGAAAAGTCAAAATTGTAACTTGTCATTAGAGTAGGAAAAAAGGGAAGAATCTTCCAATTGGAAACTCCATTCACTTTAGAAATTTCTTCACATTTTCTGCTGTGTCTTCAGGTGAGAAAGTGAAGGTGGACCCAGGCGGCATAAATTAACAGGGATTTGAACACCCCCCTACTTAAACTCCAGCATGACTCTGACTAAACAGCACTGACCCTGAATGGATGAAATGAATGAGTTTTTGCAAACAAAAAGCACATTCACTATTAGAATTTCATTTTCTTCAAGAATGTTTCCATCCTGCTCCTTTGATTTTTTTCCATCACTACCAGAGAAGTGCAATTCATATTGGCCGACGCCCGAGACATGCAGTTCTGGGCGGCAAGCAGGTCGCTTTTTCTTTGCCTGTAGCCACCCGTCAGGTGGAAGCATTTGGGCAGCAGTGCTGCCACCTGATTGCTTCCACACAGCCCACAGTGCCAGCCTCTCCCCCCTATATGTCCCGGACTCCGCTTGCCCATCTGCAGGCCCGGGACTGGTTCAGAGGGTGCCGACGAGATGTGGTATGAGGGAGGGAGGAGAGCGGACACATCAGCTCCCCTCCCCTTCTTGTCCTGACCTGGAAGTGATGTGACGTCACTTCCGGGTCCCTGTTTGACAAATTCCCAGTCATTGAGGCCAGAGCGATGTGCACTGCATTACATTCAGGGGAGCACAGGGGAGATGTCTCAAAAAAGAGAACCTGTCACCAAAAAAATCATCACATTAAATACATTTTTTTTTTAAATGGAAGTTACACCCAAGCATATAACCCGCCCCCCCCCTAATTTTTTCAAGGCCCCCACATATGTACACATGCACAAACGTAAAAGCACCTGCTAGGGCGCCTACACATGAAAACGTCGGTTGCGATACACATTACATATCGCCGCGCACACCAGAACGAGAGCAATAATTCTAGCACCAGACCTCCTCCGTAACGCTAAACTGATGACCTATAAGGGGCTTTAAAAGCGCCACCTATAGAAAATATTGGGTACTATAACCAGATAATAATATAGGGTACTAAAACGCAAAACCAGATCCCCTCGGGCGTTCTCCCTCTACAAATCCTCCTTCCTCACCTACACCTCCTCCCTCCACGCCGCCAAACAAGCCTACTTCGTTAGCCTCATCAACACCCTCTCCACCTGTCCTCGCCGGCTCTTCTCCACTTTCAACTCCCTACTCTCTCCCCCCAGACCTCCACCCAGTACCTCACTCACCACCCACGAGATTGCCAATCACTTCCAAAATAAGATCGATGCAATCCATAAGGACATCGCCAATGCTCAATCTACCTCCCCACCTAGCCTCCCTCCCACCATAACCCCATAAACTCCACCCTCCTCTGACCTTGCAACTGCCCTGCCCCCCACCACACCTAACACCCCGCACACTATAACCTCCCCAACACTCCGCTCCTTCAGCCTTGCTACCACGGAGGAGGTCCCTAAGGTCTTCTCAGAAGCCCGCCTCACCACTTGCCCCCTTGACCCTATCCCCACACAACTCCTCCGGTCACCCTCCTCCCCTCCATCCTACGCTCCCTCACCCACATCTTTAATCTCTCCCTCTCTACTGGCGCATTCCCCTCCCCCCTAAAGCACACGCACATCACCCCCATACTCAAAAAACCCTCCATGGACCCCACCAACCTGAACAACCTTAAACCCATCTCCCTGCTGCCATTTACATACAAGCTCCTTGAGTGCTTAGTCTACAATCGCCTAAGCTCCTACCTCAATGACAACAACCTCCTTGATCCCCTACAGTCTGGCTTCCGTCCCCTACACTCCACCGAAACCGCCCTACTCAAACTCACC